TTATCTTTAGTAGGACGCGCAAGGCGGTTTTTTCTTTTTCCTTCGCTTCCTAAAGCGGCCACGGCAACGCGTAATAAACCCACCCGCCGCTGAGACGGTGTATCCCGAGCTCGCCATTATCTTTAGTAGGACGCGCAAGGCGGTTTTACGTGAAATATATATATACATATATATATATATATATATATATATATATACATATATATAACTAGATATCTCATTCGCAAATAAAACCTAAAAGTGCAAAAAAAAACACTTGCTGTCTCGTCTCGCGTTTGCTTCATTTCATTAATTCTTGTTTGTCTATTTACTTGCTTGTTTTACTTATTCCACGTACTTCCCCAATAGTTCTCTTGGGGTGCTAATCATTCGCTAATAAGAGAAAATGGCGAAATGCCCTTGCGAGAGCCGTTATGGACCAATCAGAGTCAACGCAATATTTACAGATTGAGTGCGTATCGATACTACATTAATAATTAATTAAGATTAATTATCTCGTTAGATTAGTAGGTAAATAAACGTGACGGACGTGGACGGTGGTAGCGAGACAGGCGACGCCTTAGAAAATCCGTTTCAACGTGATGACGATGGTGAAAGGAGCGTCCAGGCGTCGCGATGATCGCTTAATAACGTTCACGTCCCATATCTAGCATAATGTAAGAATCGTAATATATTAATTATCATTATTATCCATATATGCATAATCGACTTAAATTTATTACATCATAATGTGTCGGTGCCTCTCCTCCTCCAGTTTCGAGCTCTGGCGGGAATATGAATCCCAGTTGTTAATCAACGGTCCTGTTACCAGTGTCTACCCCTGTTTCTCTTTAGTTCTCCGATTCGCGTCATCATCATGGACGTCGGTCGTTTACGTTAACGATAGGCGTTATCATTAATTATAAATAAAAAATACGTCTCTACGGTAATACAGTAATAAGAGGGATAGTCAGGGAATTGGGATGGCTTGGGAAGTGCCTTAAGGGGGGAGGGAGGGAGGGCT